CGCTCATGTGGTTGTGGAGGGTGGCGGGTGCGTGGGGTGGTGTCCGTGGTGGCGGGTTGTGTGGTGGATGGTGGGGGCTGTGTGTGGCAGGGTGGCGGGTGCGTCGCGTGGAGCGGTAGCTGGCTGCGTGGCTGGAGAGTGGGCGGCGTTTGCTGGTAGCGAGAGTGCGAGGTGTCGTCGGTGGCGGAGGGTGGCGGGTGTGTGCGTGTGAGGGTTGACGGGGTGTGTGGGTGGAGGTGGCGGATTGTGCTGTGGTGGTGAGCGGTGGCGGTGTGCGTTGGTGTACGAGGGTGCGGCCCTTCTTCCCCAGTGACGTGGGGAGGGTGGCGGGCTGCGTTGCGATGGATGGTGGCGGCGTTGTGTGGCGGCCTCCAGATGTGTGTGGATGGTGGCTGGGCGGGTGCTGTGGTGGCGGCTGTGTGGTGGATGGTGGGCGGTGTGTGCGCTGGTGAGGGGTGGCGGGGCGTGGTGGCGAGGGTGGCGGGTGGTGGTGCCGAGTGGCGGGTCGCACTGTGGTGGCCAGTGGATGGTGGCGTCCTCGTGACGTGGGTAGGGTAGGCGGCCGGACGCCACGCCGTTGTGGTGAGGTGGCGGTATGTATGGGTGGCCGGTGTGCGTGGTGGGGTGGCGGCTGTGCGGCCCGCGTGGTGGAGCGGGTGGCGGCGTGTTGTGGTGTCTGCTGAGGGTGGCGGACTCGCTGCCGTGTGGTGGAGGGGTGGCGGTCGTGTGTGTGCGAGGGTTGGGCGGGGTGGGTGGGTGGGGTGTGGCTGGCGGGGTGTGGTGGTGAGGGTGGCGGAGTGAGTGGTGGAGCGGCTTAGCGGTGTGCGGGTGGAGGGTGGCGGGTGCGTGCTGGAGGGTGGCGCTAGACATGTGCGTGGTGAGAGCGGCTGGGCGGGTACGTGACGGTGGATGCTGGTGGTTGTGCGGGGGAGAGGGTGGCGGGGCTGCGGTGGTGTCGAGCGGTGGCGTTGTGCGGGGGATTGGTGACATCTGTGGTGGTGGAGGGTGGCAGGGATCGCGCCGCTGTGGGGAGGGTGGCGGGTGTGTATTGTGGTGTCAGGGGTCGCCGGTGGTGGCGTGTGCGGGGGAGGGTGGCGCATGATGGGGGGAGGGTGCCGGTTGTGCGAGGCTCCCACGGGGGGAGAGTCCGCGTGGTGTGGTGTGCGGGGCGGGGCGTCTATTTTTTCTGTACCACTATGCGTAAAAGCTCTAGGGCCTATCTTCGATGCAGAAAACCACCGCCAGTCTACGCCCTACTCCCTAAACCCTACCCTGACCCTAACCCTAACCAAACCCTAACCCTAATTAAATTTAATTAACACTAAATACAAATGTGCGGGAAAAAAAGTGTTTAATTACCAATTGTTGTAAATAATCATGTAAATATTTGCCGCCCGTTAATTGGCTGAAAAAATTGTTAAATTGGATAAAAGATTAGAAAAATAAAAAAATAAAAAAAATAAATGATATGGACATCGGAAACCAACGACCTCAGAGTAACGCCCGCCGCCTGTAGCTGTACGAAGCTCGGCCTATTCAGTGTTATTGGTGGAATTGATATTATTATGGATGCTTGCCATGCACTACCTATGGATGTCGGGCCGCTGCACTGTGCATTGGTCGGTGGGTGGTTTTCTGGGGATAGCCCTAGATTTTTACGCCATTCAGTTGGTGACGGTAAAAATTCACGCCTGCGGCGTAGGGTGCGCGTGTGTGGCGCAGGGTTGGCGGGTGTGTGGTGGAGCTGGTGGCGGGGGTGTCGTGGGGTCGAGGGGTGGCGGATCTGCCTGGTGCGCGTCGGATGGTGGCGGTCCGTGTGTGGTGCGAGGGTGGCGGCTCGCCCGAAGCGCGTAGGTGCGTGCGGCAGCCCCTGCGAGTGTGCCGGGTGTGTGTGGGGTCGAGGGTGGCGAGCCTGTGTGGGGGCGTTCCGCCGCCCTTCGGAGGTGCGGCGGTGGCCCTGTGCGTGTTGGAGGGCGGCGGGCGTGTGCGGGCGGGAGGGTGGCGGGCGGTGGCTGTGGTTGCGGGGGCAGGTGGCGGTGTGTTGGCGGGAGGGTGTGCGGGGCTGTGTGTGGCAGGGTGGCGGGGGCTGTGTGGGTGAGAGGTTGCGGCGGCGTTGTGGTGTCGAGGTGTGGCCTGGGTGTGTGGCGGCCCGCAGGGTGGCGGGCTGTGTGGGCGAGGGTGGTGGGTGGGTCTGTGGTGAGGGTGGGCGGGTGTGTGGTGGAGGGTGGCGGGGCTCCGCTCTGTGTGGGAGGGTGGCGGCGGTGTGTGGGGGAGGGTGAGCGGCGTTTGTGGTGCGCATGGATGGCGGGTGGTGGTGAGAGGGTGGCTTGGGTGTGTGGGGGAGGGTGGCGGTCCGGTGTGTGGGTGAGGTGGTTGGAGGTGGTGGGTGTGTGGGAGCGTGGCGGCGTGTGGGTCGGATGTGGCGGGTGTTGTGGTGCGAGGTGGCGGCGTGTGGCGGGGTGAGTGGTGGCGGATCTGTGTGTTGGGCAGGTGGCGAGGGCGTTTGTGTTGCGTGGATGCGTGGCGGGCGTGTGGTGGGGTGAGTGGCGGTGCTGTGGTGGGCGGAGGGTGGCGGTAGTGTTGTGGTGGATGGTGGCGGCCCGAATGTTGTGGTGCGAGGCTGCGGGTGTGCGGAGTCTCACCGGCCTTCCTTGTTCATTGATTCTGATAACGACGGATGACGGCGGACGATCACCTCGGCGGCGGCGACTCGACAACGCCGTCATGATACGGGACCGATGACGACGATGATTGATGATTTGAGATTATGCCATGCACGGCGCACGATGGTCGGTCGATCGGATGCTCTTAGATTGATTGCCACTGCGCGTGCTCTCGCGTCGCGAGATTTCATCGTTGTACGTTTAGCCATCTCAGGTTTAGTCCTCCCTTACAATTGAACCGCATGCGATAATCGTTCGACTCGGCGCGCGCAAAGAAAAGAGACTTAAAGACATTGCTAGCGTTGTCAAGGTGCGGACTTGTAATAATGACCCGTGCAAGTCTATTCGTTTCGAATTCGCCTTCATCTTTTCCCTAGTCCGTTTTTTATTCATTCGTGGCGACCAACTGTACTTCGCAATTTCAAGCTAGAGTGCAGCAGCAACCTTGAGCGTGAAGCCGCATATGAATGTTAAATCGATAGTCATACAGAATCATGACCAGCCCGTAATTTTAGCTATAACGTTGCCAATTTATAAGATGCAAAACATCGCGCGATTTAATCACGATCTCAATAATGTCGGCGCATAATGTTGCGGAGACGTGCGTGAAATTGCATCAGGTTTAACACGTATTATTTGCCTGCGCCAAGGGCCACAATTAGCATTATACCCACCAACAGCATCAGCAGTATGCTGATAACAAAAGCAGCCGTCCTGCAAGCCGCGGTGATAGAAACGATAATAACGCATCCTTAATGACGGCATAGGCAAAGAGAAGTGAAAATACTTGAGGCGAACAAAGACCCAACCACGCACAGAGACCGCCACGGAACAGAGGACAGCGAGAAAGAGCGCCCGAATGAAGAGACGAGGGGGTCCGGGAGAGCGAGAGAGAGGCAGAGAGAGAGGTGGGATGGATGGTTATGAGCG